AGTGTGGTCATGTGTTGGTGATTACTAAGCTGCCTCTATGAGATTCACTGCAGGGGACTCCAGTCTGCAGTATGCATACCTGGCCATGTGCTGTTACGTGTACTTTGCTTTTTACTCCTATTATATTTGCTTCTCGTTGCATTTGATATTTGGAAAACTGTCAGGAAAATTGTATCCTTTTTCCAGTGACATTTTTGTTGCATTTCACTGTAATCTGCACAGTTTAACTGTAGGCCAGTAATAGGTTGGCTTCTACCCAGTCGTTTAATCGTCTAATTCCATTTGTAGTAACACGTAGGAAGTGGCGTGTGACTCAGTCGTTATTTTGTGCTGTCTGGAAATAAGTGCACTGTGATGATCTGTGACCAGATATAAATGGAGAGAATCCTTTGTTCCTGCATATTTGGCATATGTTCTGTGCTACTATGAGTTGGTGAACTGCCTAATTGGAAAAGTATAAGTAGTCCATGGGGGTTGGGCTGTGGCAGTGGTGGAGCACTTGCCTAATATGTGCCCAGCCCTGGGTTCCATCTCTAGCACCAAAAAAGGGTGGAGGGCCCAATGACCTCCTCATGCCAGTAATATCCCTTAAATTTTGTTATTTAACATTTTAAGTCCATACTGCCTATTAGCCAAATGCATAACCTTATAATATTCTTCAAAATGTTGGACATATTCCTAGTTCTAATATTTAGGGTAACACCACTGTAAGCCACTTTGTATGAATTTTGATGCAAAAATGATAGTAAACATAATCTTTTAGTTGAGTTCATGATTTTGAAATATGGATATATTTCATTCTTTTGAGCTGGAGGTGTAGCTGAGTGATACACTGGTTTTGTCTGGCATACCTGCAGCCCTGAGTTTAATTTCCAACACCACAAAAAATGTTTTAAGTAATAAGTTCCTCTAGTATTCCCACTTCACAATAAAATTTATTCAGACAGAGTCACATCACTGTAATTATGGTGAATTTCTTCCCAAAATGTTGGCTCCATACTCGAAGGGGGAAAGGTAAGGGTTGGTGCAGTGTGCACAGTGGCGTGGCTTCCTGTTGGGGCACGCACTTAGTTCTGCTCCATTTGAATCTGGGCTGTGCTTTCTCAACTCCACCCTTGCATGTTTTCAGGGTTTTTTTCCCTTCTCAAATTATAGAAAAAATAGGTTACAGGACTAAGTAAACCAACAGGTGCAATATGGAGTAACACTTGCTCGATTTAAGATTAAATTTCTGCATAGTGACCAGAGAATAGTTTTTGTTTTGCTTCACAATATACTTTGCAGCTTGCATAATCACAGCCAAGGTGTGTTTTGATCTTTTTATGACTGAGGACTCGGTGGCTGCTGCTATGAGGCTGCCTTTGGAATTCCAGACAGTGAGGGACAAGAATAACAAGGTCAAGGGTTCCTTCCTGCTGCAGTGAATGGGCTGTTTCACGGTGCCTCTGCCTGCGGTGGCAGAAAACCCGGGCAGAGCTTGCAGTGTGTGTGAGGGGCAGTGTGCAATGGGCTCTTGACATGTCCACTTCCACAGGAGCATCTGTCCACACTAGCACACTGGGCACTTCTCAGAGGTCACTTTCTGTGGAGTTGTGGAAACAAAGTTCATGAAAAGGACTACAGTATGAGAAACAAATGTGATTGCCTTTGCTCCTAGCCTGAATCGCTCTGATGATTTAAGCCAAATTATTTTTAGACATTTTTTTCTAAGTAGATCTGACTTGCCAGGAATAGAGTACTTGATTTTCAAAGAATTGAAATGGGTTTTGTTTTTCCTCTCCAGCAAGGAACTGCTTAGGGGGTTAAAATAAATGTAAAAGTAGTTCACAATATTTTGATATCTGAAATGACTAAATTATAACCACATGACATATTAATGTAATTATATTCTTGGCCATCTAAAGGGTTCTTTTGTGAAGAATTCTATTTGTTTGTTTGTTTCTTTTTTTGGTACTGGGGATTGAACCCAGGGATTCCACATTGATCCATATCCCCAGCCCTTTTTTTATTTCAAGATGAGATCTTTTTGTTGTTGTTGATGTTGTTGGGTTTTGTTTGGTTTGGTTTTGTTGTTTTGAGACAAGATCTTACTGTGCAGTTCAGGTTGGCCTCGAATTCACTATGTAGCTGAGGCTGGCCTTGAACTCACAGCAATTCCCCTGAGCCTGGCAAATGCTGGGATGACAGGCATATACCACTATGCCTGGCTTCAAAATAAGATCTTCCTAAGTTGCCCAGGGAAGACTCAAGCTTGGTATCTGTTATGGCTGTGTCTAGATGTCTCCCGAAAGCCTCATGTAGTTATAGGTGGGGCTTTTTCAGAGGTGGATGGATCTCCAGTGTGTGACACTGGAATTGATTCATGGTGCAGTGCTAGGCTCAAGGGCACCAGGATTAAGGGTATGAGTGCTTCCTGCCTTAAGTAGCATGGATAAAACATAAGGGCTAGAAAGAGCTGTGGTCATCTCTTGTTGCTTTGCTTCCTTCTGCCTACCATGAACTGTTTCTCCTTTGCAATGCCTGTCTGCCGTATCTCCCTGTCTTGGAGCCAGCTGATTGTGGACTTTTGAAACCTCTAAAAACTATGAGCTAAATAAATCTTTCCTCCCTTAACTTTGGTTGTCAGGTGTTTTGTCACAGCAACAAGAAAAGTATCTAAGACAGGATCCTCTTGCCTTAGCTTCCCAATATGCTGGAATTGGAGACGTGTGCCTCCAGGCTCAACTTGTTTTGTTTTGTCTTGATTTGAGTTTTGGGTCAGCATTCTTAAGGATGTAGAGTGGAAGACTTGTGGGTTTGCTGGGGGAAGCCTTAAATTTGGGGGATAGTTCTGCTCTGGCTCTCACTGATCCAGCAGACTGTCCTGTTAGAAACTAGGCAGGATGTTTCACTGTACCTCACAGGTTATGTACCTACAGGAGCTTCTCTGTCCCTGTCATTCACAGGGTTTAGGCACACCATTCATGGGTGGTGCTTCAGATGTCACCCAGGAGCCACTTTATCAGGGACACCATGGGGAAAACTGGGGAGTGACCTGCTATATTTGCATTTGGGAAGATCCCTGACACCTGTGAAAGTGACCCAGGAGAGGACACACTAGGAATTTACAGAGATAAGATGGGTTTGATGGGCCAGGGATTTAGCTCAGTGGTTCTGCCGCCTACCTCGCAAGTATGAGGACCCGAGTTCAATCCCTGGTACCAAAACAAAACAAAACAAAACAAAACAAAAAAAAGATGGGTTTGACCCAGGTGTGGAGCCTATGAGTGTGGAAAAAGAGGACCTCCCAAGAGGCCCAGCTGACAGGGTCTGTGTATGTGGATGGGAAGAGACCTTACCCCAGCCCCATTCTGAACAGACCTGGAGGAGCACGTGTCCATGCTGTCACGTGTTGTTCCCTGGGCAGGAAGGGAGACAGGGTGTGGGAAAGGCCAGCACCGTGGTTGCCTGCTTTCTGAGCAGGGTGAGGAAAGGGCATGTTCAGCCCTCGAGGCATCCCACACAGTGACACCCAGTGCACGGCAAGTGAGTCTTGTCAGGGGTGTGACATGTAGGTGAGAGGTCCCCCTACACCGTGACTGGCTAGTGGCCACAAGCTGGGATTAGAGGACACGGACAGCTGGTGAGGTCACTTGTCCAAATGTCAGATGTGAGGTGCTCATGAGGTGGATGTGTCGGGATGAAAAGTGGATTTCTAAGGACGACAAGAGAGAGGGCAGGCTGGTGGTCTGAAGAGTCAGCCTAGGTCAGGCCATCCTGCAGTCACTTGTGTAGGAATGTAACAGCTGAAGACATGGTCTGCTCTGTATTCTCTTTCTCCGTGTTCCACCAGTCTTTTGTTTTTACTTTTTGAGAAAGGGTCTCACTGTGTAGTTAAGAATGGCCTTAGTGCAGTGCTCTTGCCTCTGCCCCCTAAGTTCTAGGATTACATTTGCCAGTGTTGTTTTGTTTTGTTTTGTTTTTGGTGCCAGAGATCGAACTCAGGACCTTTTGCTTGTGAGGCAGACAGCAGAACCACTGAGCTAAATCCTCAGCCGACATTCGCCAGTCTTAATGTTCATCCTTCCTTTCAGCTCACCAGAATCACTTTTCTCTGGCCACTGACTGGCAGGGTGATCCACTGGCACCCTCTGGTGTTCCTTGGTGTGATGTGGCGCTGGCATGGTACCAAATGATTCTGTCTCCGTCATCTCTTAAGCACCAGAGAAAAGTGGCAGTGCTAGCACACTGTCACCAGCTACAAAAGAGATGAGGTCTGCACCCACATGGTCTTACTGCCACTTTCAGATATGAGCCACCTTTGTTCTGAGTTATTCTCTTCTGTCGTAGGACTGCCCATTTCAGAGATGTGGTGTTACCTCTGGAGTCCAGGCAGAACACACCCTGCTGCAGTTTTTCCTGGTGTTGACATTTTCCGGAGCACTTCTGGAGAAGTAACATGAGAAAAATCGCCATTTTCTCTTATAACTGGCAAATAATCAGATTACTCTAGGGATTAGATAAAAATAAATCATTTGGCCGGGCATGGTGGCACACACCTGTAATCCCAGCACTCTGGAGGCTGAGACAGGAGGATCACTGTGAGTTCTAGACCAGCCTGGGCTGCAGAGTGAGTTCCAGGTCAGTCTCAGCTGCGTAGTGAGACCCTGTCTCAAAAAAAACAAAAATAAATAAATAATAAATCATTTGTTCCTATAGTTAGTCACTATGATGACTGATGAATCTTTGGTAAGAGAATTTCAAGATTAAATCAGATACGTAGAACCTGACAGGGAACAAGTAAAAAGAAGAGTGAATCCAAAGTCAGAGTGTGCACTGTTAAGATTGTGGAGAAGTTCACTCCCAGCTATTCCTCCTGGAACCCATCCCTGGGGACCAGTCCTATCCCTGATGTGTTTCAGGCCACAATGTCCTGCATCTCCTTCCGCTGTTTTGCTTCCCTTCCTGTCTTTGCAAACCACTGCTCTAGTTTCCCCTAATGTGTCTGATTTTGCCCACAGGCCATGTCCTCATAGAGATTTCAAGTACCCACAAGAAACTCAATGAGACCCTTGATGAAAATGTATGTGGATTGTTTTTATATTTGCAAAATGTTTTTGTTTTATTTTTAAAATTTTGACTAAATTAGCAAAATTCAAACCTGGTGTAAATTTTTTACTTCCTCTTGTGAACAGTTCAGAAAATTCCATACGGAGATCATCCATGAGCTGGAGAAGAAAACAGAACTTGATGTAAAATATATGCATGTGAGTGCGCAGTTTCCCTCCACTCTGCTCTATGAGCCAGACTTCTGAGCCAAAGAGAACTTCCCCACTCTTCAGTCCAGGGAGCAAATGGGGCTGGAGTACAGTGCTGATACAGACTTGGATGTGTAAAATAAGGTCTCGTTTGGCTGAGCGGGCCTGGTTTTGCTAAAACTTGGGGTCCGTATTAAAAAGCACAGAAACATTTTGCAGAAAAACATGCTTCTTCTGAAAGCAGTTTTCAGAGCACATGGCTGTGTGAAAGGACATCTGCATCCATGTTCTATAGCTGGTGCTTTCACAGACCAGGACGTGAGGATTTGAGTCACACATTCAAGAGAGCACTAGGGATCTCTCCCCCTCACCCAGTACCATCCATCCTCTAGCTCTCCAGCCCCACCTCCAACTGGTTGTCCCTCGAGGTAGTAGGCTCCTTCCACCTTCCTTTTCTGCGGTAGAATGCTTGCTTTCATTGGCCACCCAGAGTCCCCTTTCTTACCAGGACCCCCACCATGGCAGTAAGCAGTAGGTTTACGCAAAGCCACCTGTCATCTTCATGAGGCCCGCTGCCCAAATGCTATACATATGTGCGGTGCACGTTACCTGATTTTTAATCCCTACCGGAACCCCATGACATAGACACCTTTGTTATCCCCACTTTACAGATTAGAGGGAAAACATGAATTTCAGAGAATTTAAGTAACTGCTGAGGTTACACAGGTAATGGGAACTGTAACTCAGGTCTGTTAATCTCCAGATGCTGTGTTCTTAAACATTCTGCTATATAGCAAGAAACAGCCCCCTACACCAAAATGTAAGCAGTTGCTCTTGTTCATGCCATCTCTTGAAACTTAAAAATCATAAAACAGCCAGAAACATATGATGTAATATTGTTTATATATTCATTAAAACGTTTTTTATCCAGTGTCCAAAAACCATTGAAGAAAGAAGAAATAAAAGAAAGAGAAGACACCACTCCCCTCAGAGAGCTACCCTTCTGGTCCAGGGCCTTTGGTGTGAACCAACAGCACTGCTGTGTTCAAGTTGAACAGAGAGTGTGTGAGGTGTGAGTGTGCAGGCTCCCAGCAGGACAGGGCTGTGTGGAGTGTGTGTTAGTGTGTGAGGGCCAAGTCCCACACACAGTGGAAGTGTGAGCAGGAGTGACTGCAACAGCATGGATGGTGCTGCAGTAAATAAGCACAACATTAAATTTGCAGGCAACTCTTAAAAGATACCAGGCAGAACACAGGAGCAAATTAGATTCTTTGGAGAAATCTCAAGCCGAGTTGAAGAAGATCAGAAGGAAAAGTCAAGGAGGACGAAATGCACTAAAATATGAACACAAAGAAATTGAGGTGAACTTCTTGGCCATATTCCTTTTTCTTTTTATTGATTATTATCTGTACTATTTAAGGAGAGGTTTCCCTCCCTCGGGAAGCCTATTCTTTTACTGGTGCCAAAGGTCAGAATAAGCTCTCTGACTCAGGAGGAGCCAAAGGCTGCAGTGTTCTGCAGTTAAGATAACCAGTCTGTGGTCTCCTGCATTGGCTTTCCCCTGGCTCAGGGACAAGGCGGCTGCACCATGACTAACACTGCTGTCCCCGTTTTATTTACAGTGGGGAAACAGAGGCTTTGGTTACGTCCTGTGGTTGACATTTGAACCTGGAACTTGTCTGGTTCCACCATGCTGCTCTGTAGAACAAGATCGTCCTGGGGTGTAGAATAGTATTTTGTGCCAGTTGCCCAACATGTAAAGCCTGTGGCAAGTTCTCTCTGCAGATGAGTCAGGGATCTGATGACAATGACATCTGCTTAGGTCAAGTTACAACTTTGTCTAATGTCTATCTGTGTTTAGTATTTACTCCAATATCAAATCAAGCCAAGTGGAAAAGTGGCAGAAGATAAATGTCAGGCTGCACGGCTATCTGATGCCCCATGTCATACTTATATCTCTTATTTTTCTAGTATGTGGAGACCGTTACTTCTCGCCAGAGTGAAATCCAGAAATTCATTGCAGATGGTTGCAAAGAAGCTCTGCTAGAAGAGAAAAGGCGCTTCTGCTTTCTCGTGGACAAACACTGTGGTTTTGCAAATCACATACACCGTTATCACTTGCAGGTGAGTGCAACGGAATCCATGTTTTAAATCCCTTGTAAAATAATGCTTAGTAATTGAAAAATGGTGCCTTTTCCTTTTCTCGCCTGAGTCAGCTCTCTGTAGACTGATTTGTCTGGGCATTAGTGTCTTGAGCAGGGCAGCCCCAGGGTGTTCTGGTGCATCTGGAGGGTGTGAGGGACGTCACACTGGCACCTCTGCCTCAGCCACACACCCATCGGGACAGCTGATCCTGTGCTTGCCAGGCTTCCATTCATGCTCCCCCAGCTGAGGGGCTGGCTGAGCCCTTCCTCCTGACACACTTGGCTGCGAGTTCAGAGCTGTGATGCAGCATGTGTTAAACCAGCCTTTTCAAGAAAATTGTGAATGATCCAGGCATGGTGGCGCACACCTGTAATCCCAGCACTTGGGAGGCTGAGGCAGGAGGATCACTATGAGTTCAGGTTCCAGGTCAGTCTCAACTACATAATGAGACCCTGTATCAAAAAACCAAAAAAAAAAAAAAAAAAAAAAAAAGAAAGAAAGAAAATTGTGAGTGCTCTCGGGCCTGTATAAGAGTACAAAACTAGCAGTAACTGAGGCTAAATATTTAGTGTTGTTTCTAATGAAGTAATTTAGAGAATGCTCTGCAATATGAGAAGCTTTGCAGGAATTTGGATTCCAGTTAAGTCCCTCTCTTTTTCAGGGGAAAAAGCCTCAGTCTTGTGTATATGTGGATATATTCTATAAAGCTTTTGCAGCTTTAAGGAATATTTAGCTACCTAATCTAAATACCTATGATCTAAAATTGTTATAGCAAGGGAAGAAATTACTGTATTATCACTTTTGTCCACTGTGTCCACTAGTTTGAGTAGTGTCCAGGTAGCTTTAAAAACTTGTGTCCATGGTAAGGGCCTCCCTGCATCAGAGTTGTGCTTGCAGAAGTGTGGAAATGGCCTTAAAGCTTCCTTTCTATGGCAGTACCCCTCTATGTCATGAAGCATCTGTGGCTATTTTTTGTTACTGGCAGTCTTTCTTACATATAACTTTGGTTCCCAGTTATGCTTTGTAGAATGGTACAAACCAAGTCTGCTTCTTTCTATACTGGAAGTTTCTTTAGCTATCTGAAAGTTGTTTTATGGCTTCCTTACTACTTGTAACACATTCCAGTACTTTCTGTGGCTCTTGAATAAAACAGGCCCAAGCCCTTGGTCAACAGTGTGGCAATGCTGCAGTTTGTCAGGGTAAGAGCAAAGGCCAGGGGTGGTATCAGAGAGGGGCTTTGCCTCCCTTAGGATTTAGATCAGTGTCCCCAACCACCCCTGACAAACCTAGAGTTTGGGTAAGAACAGTGTGAATGCCTTGCAAGGAGTCTCAGGAAAGGCCCCTCCTTCCCTTTTCCAGCCATGGGAAAGGGGGTTCACTGGAAAGCTTTGGGGCCTCTGAGAGTCCTGTTGCCAGAAGCAGAGCTAGGCCTGTGGGGGCAAGAGAGCCCCCTTAGCCTCCAGGATGCAGGTCTCTGTGCTCAGCCCAGCTGCTCTGCAAAGCCTCACTTAACCTGTGGCGGGGTATCTCCCAGTGCCCCCCATGCTGTACTGCCTGTGGTCCCTCAGTCACATAGGTGGATTTCCTGGACAGAATCTTATTCACTTGTCTGACACATGCATCAGTTTCTCTGAGGTAGAGTCAGCTCCTGGGCCTCTCACCTGAGATGAAGGTACTGCTTTGCGGGGCAGTGCGAGGAAGCAGTGGTGACTGATGTTTCAGGAACAGCTGGAAATAGGAGACTTCATAAAGATTGCCCAATCCTTTTTTTTTTTTTTTTTTTTTTTTTTTGGTACCAGAGATCAAACTCAGGACCTTGCGCTTGCAAGGCATTCGGTGGCACCACTGAAATCCCCCACCCTGCCCAATTCTTTAGAACTAGGGAAAGGGTGAGCAAAGTGGGAACTGAACCAGCACCTTGCACATACTAGGCAAGCGCTCTATCACAGAGCTATATGCCTAGTTCCTGAACTGATATTAATCACTTAATGACCCTCATACTGGTTATACTGTATTCACACTGAGGGAGCAGGGTAAGATCCTTCAGTGTGAAAGCTTGCTGCCTCCTCTGCAAATGAAAAATGGCAGCTGCTCAGAGATGCTTAAACTGCTCGCTGAATTAAACACTAGCTTCCACCCTTCTGGTTATCAGTGATAGTATTTGATACAATTTTGTTAGCTCTTCAATGTACCTTTGTCTTTGTGTTGTTTCTTTTGGATTTATAGTCAGCAGAATTACTTAATTCCAAGCTGCCCAGGTGGCAGGAAACCTGTTGTGATGCCACCAAAGTGCCAGAGAAAGTCATAAGTATGATAGAAGAAATAAGGACTCCAGTCTCTACTCCAGTATCCGGGACACCTCAGCCATCACCTATGATCGACAGAAACAATGTGGTACAAAACAGTTGCTCTTCACAATTTCAGTTGTGTGTTCACCAATAGGATTTGGGCTAAATTGGGCCCAAAAGACCAAGGCTGCCTTGGTGGTGGAAATCACAAGCCCTCCTTTCCTATACTAGGCCTGCCTTCTTCACCCTTACCCCTTACCTTCAGATTTGGAATTAGCTGTGCAATTGTTTTATGCTACTCTTAATGCTAATATCTTTGGGTTAGAAATTTTATTGTTACTGCTTTTAATTGCAATGATTCCAACTTTATAAATTTATTTTCAATGAAGGAAATAGATGTCTTCGAGATTAGACTGGTAAACTCCAGTGTCATTTATCACAATATAAGTCACTTCAGGCAAACAAAATATTCTTGGTAATGAATTGTAGTTTGTTGTCATTTGACCCTGGGCTTCATTACTGTTTACAAACATACATACATACATAAAATACAGAGACAGAAAGCACATTAATGGTTGCTGAAGAGGAGCTGCTTTGGGGAGGGTGGGTAAAGGTAAAGCACGTGATGCCAGCCAGCCCTTTTCATTGCTGTGTTGCTCTAAAATTAGACTAATAAGGATTTTTTGACAGGTGGAGAAAGATTACAACACTCTTTCTGAATATCCACCAAAGATACTTCCAGCTTTGCCTTCAGCCAAAGAATATACCAGTCCTTTGATTGATATGTTCAATAACCCAGCAACAGTTACACAGAATTCAGAAAAGATAAATAATTCAAAAGGTAAGATCTAGTTTGATGTTTTTGTTTTTTATTTTTGAAATAAGATCCTGCTTTGTTATTCAGGCTGGCCTCGAACTCACAGTGATCCTGCCTCAGCCTCCCAAGTGCTGGTGTGTGCCACCATTCCCAGCTCTAGTCTGATTTTCAAAGATACCTTTTTAAAATTTTTTTGAAAAGTAATTTGTGAAATAAACATATTGGATAAATGTGAGGGAGAAATAAACAGGTATGGTTTTGAGTAGCTTACACCTCCAAAGGTCTAGACTGCAAGACATTTTGACAAATGAAATATTTCCATGACTCTTACCAGTTCTCCATACTGATGGGTATTTACAGAGAGTAAACCTACTATTGAAAAGTATTACAAACAAATAGGGGGCTAGGGATTTAGCTCAGTGGTGCCACTGCCTGCCTTTCAGGCAAGGTCCTGAGTTCAGTCCCTGGTACCAAAAAAAATAAATGGCTGGGTCTGGGGACACATGCTGGTAACCTGAGATACTCAGGAGATTGAAGCAAGAGGATCACAAGTTTGAGACCAACCTGGGGAATTTAGCAAAACCCTATTTCATAATAAAATAATAAAAAGGGCTGAGCACATAGCTTAGTATGAAGCCCTGGATTCAGTCCCCCATACTGGGAAAAAAAAAGAAAACTAAGTAAATAATTAGGATAGAATGTACACAGCCTCACTGTGTTCTGTATCTGGTGACTATAATAATAAAAATGTTTTTCAGTAAAACTATAAAAGTTTATGTGACAAAACTGTGATTATTAATCTTAGTAATAGGCCTAATTTGAAATCTCATTTTTCATCATCCCTAATATAGCACCTACCTCATGCTTTCCAGAGACATATATTTGACTACTTAAATTTTTCAAGCATTGACTGTATTTCAACAAATCAGGACCAGTCACTGTTTACACACATTTTCAGACATTCTCTGTTCAGGCCCCACTCCTCCTACACAGTCTTTAGCATCAGGCCCCTCGGGACCTATGTCACGGCACCTGACCTGTCTGTGTGGGGTGTCAGGGACCCTTTCAGCATGAATGTGGCTGTGATCAAGTTGTCTGCTGGCAAGAACCCACAGATCATAGCATTTGAAGCTGTTAGGAAAAGATAAGAGAGAGATTGCCGTAATGGCAGTGAAGATTGCTTGGCAAGGGAAAATGACAGACTGTAGTTATTGCTTTCAAAGGAAATATTGAGCTGTATAAGAGATAATGTTAAAGTACATAATACTCTGTAGCCCAGTCAGTCAAATGACTACAGTTCTTTTTGGTAAAACCTAAGTGAAAATTGCTGGCAGGTTCAGTACTACTGAGGTAATCAGAGGGTGACAGGTTAAAGAGACAGCAAAAGTTTATCTTGCAGTTATTAAGAATTTGTAAAAATAGAGGTGGGGGATTTAACTCAGTGTTTCTGCCACCTGCCTTGTAAGCACAAGGACCCAAGTTAGCCAGTACCAAAAAAAAAAATGAATTTGTAAAAATAAAGCCAAAGGTGATCTTACACTGCTTTGAATTAAATCTGGAGTAGGAACTGTCTGCCTGCCTTGAGCTGAGCATGACCTGAGAAGCCTGGTGCCCACAGGTAGAGGGTGTGGGCTCAGCTGTGCACAGATGGTGTCTGGTGTGGCCTCTTGATGGCTTTGTGATCCTGACCAGCCTCAGAACTCTCTCGGCTCAGTTTCCATGTCTTTCAGTTTCAGCAGTTACCGTGCCTTCCTCAAGAGGCTGTGTGCAAGAATGGCAAAGAGATGGGTCGACCACAGGCTCAGTAGAGGGCCTTTATCCCCTCATCCTTTCTGTGTCTGGGGAGACCAGAACGTCCATTTCCAGTTTGCTTCTTTCCTCATAGCATAGGACATCAGCACTGGCTTAAGCTATTGCCCCAGCCACCTCTTGGGGCAGTTAGCCAATCTGCCTATGGCCAGTGCAGAAGAAGCTGTGTCCCTAGCATTTTTTTTTCTTTTTTTTTTTTTTTTTAGACAAGGTCTTGCTAAGCAGCCCGGGCTAGGCTAGAATTTGGGATTTTCCTGCTTTAGCCTGCCAGAGTACTGGGATTACAGGCAAGGGCCACCATACCCAGCTCCATCCTTCTCTTAATAGTCTCCCTGTAGCCACGCGTGGTGGCACACGCCTCTAATCTCGGCACTCAGGAGGCTGAGGCAGGAGATCCCTGTGAGTTCAAGGCCAACCTGAACTATATAGCAAGACCCCATCTTTAAAAAAAGAATAGGGTGCCCAGGATTTAGCTTAGTGGTGCCACCACCTGCCTCAAAAGCACAAGGTTCCCTCTCAAGTTCAATCCTGGGTACCAAATTTAAAAAAAAAAAAAAAAAAAAAAGGCTCCCTGCAAACCACAGGCCACCTCTGCCAGCTGCACAGCCCTCAGGCCAAGGCCTCCCTGCTTCCTGCAGGCCCTGCCCCACCTGGACGATGGGAGACGCCTGCAGTCTGCTTAGTTTCCACAGTATTGTGTGGGCAGGATATGGGAATGTTAGTTTACTGGGGTTGTCACCTTGTCTGTTGAACACTCTGAAAAGCCATTGCTGCCACACTCTAACAGACACTTTGGAAGATGCCAATTTGCAGCGATCAGTTTCAGTTTCAACTGGACTGAACATGATGAAGAAGCAGAAAGTCAAAACCATCTTCCCACACACCGCCGGCACCAACAAGACTTTACTCAGCTTTGCGCAGGGCGATGTCATCACGCTGCTCATCCCGGAGGAGAAGGACGGCTGGCTGTACGGGGAGCACGATACCACCAAAGCGTGAGTCAGCATACCCCTCTGTGAGGTGGACCTAGCCTTTCCCTGAGGGTGCTGTGTGTGCAGCTCAGCTGCTGGCTGTCAGTGTGGCCCACAGCACATCAGCCAAAGTTGGGCTTGGGGTGTGGTTAGCCAGACTTACTCCACGCCAGGCTCCCTTTGATATATTAGTACAGATACGGATAAATGTGGTATAGCATAGATTATTAGATCACATGGCATCACATCTGACAGATGGCTTAAATATCCTTATGTTGTTTTAAAACACATGACACTTGCCATTGGTGGAAAATGCCTATAACCTGGGCACTCAGGAGGCTGAGGCAGAGGATCACAAGTTTGAGGCCATTCTGGGCTACAGAGAGTTCAAACCCAGACTGAACTACATAGTGAGACCCTATCTCAAAGAAACAAAAATAAATAGTGACTTTTGATTTCTCAGGGATAATTTGCACATCAGGTACAGATTTAAGATATAGTTTAGGTGGCGCGGGGATTTGGACCTGTGGGGAATGGTGGGGCGGGTTCACTTCCCCTCCCCTGCCAGTGGGAACCAGCGCCTGGCCCACCACCGGGAGCCTTGGCTGTGAGCTGTCACAGGCCAGACCCTGGGGCCACAGCACCTCACATTGTCTGGAGCATAGGGTTTATTTTTGTAAAGAAACACGCAGCAGTCACAGACCTTTTGTTTCAGTCCCTTTCCCAGTCATATCAGTAGAACAGAATTTGGCGATAGAAGATGAACTATTGGATCAATTATTCAAGAACACAAGACCAGAGTTAGAAATTGAAGTGAAAGTTGAAAAACAAGATGTCAAGGCCGGGCATGGTGGCGCACACCTGTAATCCCAGCACTCGGGAGGCTGAGGCAGGAGGATCGCTGTGAGTTCGAGTCCAGCCTGGGCTACATAGTGAGTTCCAGGTCAGTCTCAACTACATAGTAAGACCCTGTCTCAAAAAAAAAAAGGAAATAAAAAGAAAAAGATATATTTTATATATATGTACCAACTCTCCATGATGAATTCCCCACAGCATTTACTTCAGGCTGAGATAAATGAAAACAGTGTATGGGAGAGATTTTAAGTTTTTTTGGCCTAAATTTGTAAAATAGAATGCACAAAACTCTTAGAAAAAAAAGATTTAAAATATAGTTTAAATGTCGCCATCAGCATTTCAACCATAGATATGTGTATAAAAGCCTTGCTGTCCTAGGTTGTCAGCTTGTATTCGGGTACATGAAATATAAAAAATAAAAAGAGCAACCAAATACAGTAGACCCTTGACTTATGAACTCAATTCATTCCCAAGGGCTGGTGGTAACTCAAGTTGGTCAATGAAGGCTCAGGCCCCTCTACACAGCCTTCAAAGTCTCTCCTGTACACAGGCAGATCTCAGAGTCCTTAGAGAGACATTGGCCCAGGATTTCTCAACCCCACACAGGAAAGGATGTTGTAATGTTCCTTCCAGAACTCTTTCAGGGTTAAATCTGAGACCAGCATTCAGGACTGTTCTGGGGCCGGGATGTAGCTCAGTGGTGTCATGCCTTCCTGGCAAGTGCAAGGACCTGAGTTCAACTGCTGGTACTGAAAAAAAAGAGTGGCTTTAGTAACTTGAGACTGTTCATAAATTAAAACTAAGCTGGGCATGGTGGCGCATGCCTGTAATCCCAGCACTGGGGAGTCTGAGGCAGGAGAATTGCTGCAAATTCCTGAGCTACACAGTGAGTTCAAGGCCATTCTGAACTACATAGACTCTGTCTATAAAAGAGTGGGGGGCAGTGATTTAGCTCAGTGGCACCATGCCTGCCTCACAATCCTTCGTACCAAAACACGCACATACACACACACAAATTAAAACTAAAATTCCAGTCATAACCCACGTTGTTCATATGTCAGGCCAGGTGTAACTCAAGGGTCCACTGTAACATAAATGTTATATGCAAAAATGCATATGGTTGTGTGTGTAAAGTGCACATTTCTTTATAAAAGCTTCGTTTGTTGCAGTCTACTCATGATCTACATGGTCAGCCTTGGCAGCCTGTCCTGAGCTGTCCTGCAGACCCCCTTACTACGGGGACTGCTCACTCCTGCTTCTGATGCCCCCAATGGTCTCTCCTCATTCTTCTCCTGCAGGAGGGGTTGGTTCCCGTCGTCGTATACAAAGTTGCTGGAAGAAAATGCGAAGGAACCAGTGACTATACCCACACCAAGGTAGTAAGCATGGCCGGTCACACTCGCCCTCCCATCTCTAGGCGTGTTCACGTTATAACCTAGAAATGTGTGCCCCCCACAGCATGACTGCGCCCTCCCTCATGGAGTAGTAGAGACCTTTGCTGCTCCACAGAGGTTTCTGTGGCCACAGCCTTTACTGGCCTTACATGCTGTGAAGAGACGACCAGACCCTCTTCACTCTTCACCCCATTCCTTCTGGCCTTGCTGTCCCATTCGTGAGGCTCTGTCCTCAACACTGATGAACACTTACCAGAAATATCCTCTCGCCCTGGTTCCTTGTTTCCCTTCTGCCTCACACCGTCCCTCTTCTGCCCACCACTTAGTGCTGCTCCTCAGCAGTAGCCACCTCCCGCCCTTTCCCTGGTCTGTGCTTTCTTAGTCATCTCATCTACTCCATGGCTCTGCCTACTCCTAGGCCTCACTGGCACCTGTGTGCCGATAGCCTCAAAGTTGTCCAGATTTCACAGCAGCTGTCCTTAGAGACTGTCCAAAGTACTTTACAATGATCAGCTCATTTCATCCTCACAAACACCCTGCCCCATGAAACCGGCCCCAGCTTTAAAACTGAGGAAACTGAGCCACAAAACCTTTAAGAAGTTGCTGAGAGACACACATAAGAAATACAGAACCCAGGAAGAGCCCTTCAGGCCAGTGTGGCTATTTACACGTGGTATGTGTTAGGTAGCTGTAGTGGGCTGTGCTGTAGCCCTCAGAAGCCGAACTGGTCATCCTCCCTACACTACCCTGTGCTCACTCAGGGATCCCTGTCTCAGAGAAACCCCTGCAGCCCACCCCGTGCAGGTACAGCCCACATACCACACCAACGTCTCTCAGGTCCTCCCCTTGTTCAGTTCATCCTTAGAAGTGTGGCTAACATGTCTTTGTGCCAGAAAGGAAAAGCAAAGTATTATAAATCTGAGTCCTCCCAGGTTTGGTGGCACATACCTGTAATCCCAGCTTCTCAAGAGGTTGAAGCAGGAAGATCACAAATTGGAAACGAGCCTTGGCAACTTAGCAAGATGTTGTCTCAAAAAGTGCTAAGAATATAGCTCAGTACAAGGCCCCTCAAAAACAAAAAATTGGGCCGGGGATTTAGCTCAGTGGTTCAGTGGTCTGCCTTGCAAGCACAAGGACCCAAGTTTAATACCCAGTACCCCCTCAAAAAAAATTCTGAGTTGGGTGTGGTGGCACATACCTGTGATCCCAACACTCAGGAGGCTGAGGCAAGAGGATCGCTGTGAGTTAGAGATCAGCCTGAGCTACGTAGTGAGTTCCAGGTCAGTCTCAACTCTCAACTGCGTAGAGAGACCCTGTCTCAAAAAACAAAAAAATAAAAATCTGAGCCTTAAAATTTTTTAGCCTCAGGGCCGTGGATTTAGCTCAGTGGTGCTGCCACTTGCCTCAAAAGCGTAAGGTCCCAAGTTCGATCCCTGGTACCAAAAAAAATTGTTTTAACCTTAAATGCTTAATGCTTGCTAAGTTTTCTTAGTGGTATCCTTAAGATTAAATTACTTAACAGCCAGTCCCTAATTAAATTCATTTTCTTCTCCTGTTTTGTCATGTATTTTAAAGAACTTCTTTTTGAGTATACATTTATAATACAGTAGAAACATTACAGTTATACATGTCACAGTTCCCTCCTTCACACTTTGATGAGTGGCCCGCCATTACTGCTGCCCTTAGTCATGGAACTTTGGGATGTTGGGGGTCCTGGCAGGACTTTACCTGACTTTGCTCTGTTTCGGCCCCCAGCCCTGCCCCAGTGAGAAGCATCAGCACCGTGGACCTGTCTGAGAAGAGCAGTGTCGTCATCCCCCCGCCTGACTACCTAGAGTGTCTGTCCACGGGCACTGCTGCCAACAAGCAAGCGGATGTTGCCAAAAACACTTCTACCTTCAGAGCCTCGGCATCCAGACCGGAAGTCATAACTCCTGTGAGTGTAGTGATTGCTGCCCTGGTCTCCCACGGCACAGCTATTCCTTCATGGGGTAGAGACACTTTGCTCGGTCCATCCAGATCTCTTCATCCTCACACAGCTTTACCCTAACTCAGGCCTTTGTTCTTGCTTTATCTTATCAGTGTACATGCACTAGTTGGTTGTTGTCTATGTTTTGTTAAGGCTTTCATCTCCCCAGCCTTTGGTCATGGCTGTGATCTTTCAGTCATTTGATCCCTTTCTCTGCCTTTCCTTCATTTCCTGTTGTGTTCTGGAGAAGCCTGAGGTCAGTGTATGCACTGTACAGCCACTGTGTGGGCACTGTGTACGGATTAACCCTAAGTCACACGAAGGAAGCAGGGGAGGGCACAGGCCTGAGGCACCGCGTCATTTTTGTGACAGCTGCAGGAGTTCTGCAGGCCGGTCAGCGTGTGGCTGGGGTGCAGAGATAAGCAGGTGAGGTCCTGGCTCCTTCTGAGTGTTTGCTCTGTGGAGATGAAAGCCATGCCCGGGATGAAAACAAAGTGAGGTGATAGTGCAAGGGCATGACAGCTTAGGTTTGCAGGGAGCGGGGCACCCAAGGATGGAGATCCGAGGGGGACAGAGGGAAGCTGGGCCTATGGGCATGTGCTGGAGAGCAGCCCCTTCAGCCCAGAACTTCTGAAGCGGGCAGCACACGGCAGTCCACAGCCATGCCCATGTGAGGAGGCAACGTTTCTGCTGGAACAGCCAGCCTTGTGGCATTCATAACTATAGGTTCTTGACAAAAAGCAAAGTCCAAGTTTGATCAGGGTTCCTTTGTGAAAACTAAATTATCTAATCATTACATCCTTATTTTAAGCATATCTTTAAGGTAACTCTTTTTATGCTTATAAAAATAACTGGGATTTTTCTGGTAAAATTTTAGGAAAAAATACTTAAATTTTTAATTATACTTTTCCTTCCATGATAGCTTCTATTAACATTTATTTCCTTTGAGATCAATAGAACTATGTTTAGATATATAGGTAGAAAGTAACCTCCCAGCACCTACACAGATGAGGAGGGCCTTGAATTTTCTCACATCAGAGCTGAAGCATTTTGGGGAGCCAGTGAGGCACTGTGCCGAGCTGCTCTGTGGGCTGCCTGGCTCCCACCTGAAGGGTGACGTGGAGAAAAGTGGAAAGCACTGAAAGCCACTTCCTAAGGTCCTGAAGCAAACTGAAAGAGTCAGCAGTGGAATGTCGAGGAGCAGCTACCAGAGTGTCAACATCAGAACTCTGACTGAGAAGACACCCACACCATCATGTGTGTGCTGCTTACAGAGATCCTGATATATTGTGGTATTGTTTTCCTGATCCAGAGGATAACAGAGAATACCAACTAGTAAAAGTCACAAGAAGCCGGGCATGGTGGTGCATGCCTGTAATCCCAGCACTCGGGAGGCTGAGGCAGGAGGGTTGCTTAGGAGTTCGAGACCAGCCTGGGGTACATAGTGAGTTCCAGGTCAGGCTCAAGTACATAGTAAGACCCTGTCTCCAAAAACAAAAACAAACAAGCAAACAAACAAAAAAAGTCACAAGAAGCCAGTAATTGGCTTTTTCCCTCCTGTACTGGGAATTGAATCCAGGGCCTTCACACTGAGCTACATCTCAGCCCTTTTTGTTTTATTTTTGTGGTTTGTTTGTTTTGGTACTGGGGATCAAACTCAGGACCTTGCACTTGCAAGGCAGGTGCAGTGCACTGAGCTAAATCCCCAGCCCTAATTTTGTGTTTTTTTGAGATAAGATCTCACTGTATATTTCAGGCTGGCCTGAACTCACAGTGATCCTTCTGACTCAGCCTTCCAGAACAGGCTGTTACAGGGATGTGCCACCACCGTTGCTAAGTAATTGTCTTTTAACAAACAAAAAAGAGGGCTGGGGATTTACCTCAGTGGTTCTGCCACCTGCCTTCCAAGCGCAAGGTCCCAAGTTCAATTCCCGGTACCAAAAAAAAATGACTGCAAGACTTAACCTCGCTGAATAAGGTGCTTCTGGCTATGATTTCAGGGGCTCCCACCACAGACCCAGTGCTTGAGAATAGCCACATTTCCTTATCTCTGAAACAGGGAAAGGGAAGTAACCCCCAAATTGCAAGTTTGACCCCAGCCTGGGCAACTTAGTGGGACCCTGTCTCAAAATAAAAGAGGAGGCTGGGAATGTAGTTTAGGGTGAAGGTCCTGGGCTCAATCCCCAGTACAACAAAATTAAATACTGTACAGGGTGATTATATTCTATTTTTATCAGTCACAATGAATCTACATTTTCAAGTAATACTTCAAGATCCCATGTAAACTACGAAAAAGAAAAACCTCTACCCTATCACTATGTACATCCTCTGCTGACCTTACTCTTTCGATCACACATTTCACTGTGAGAAACTGTGTTATGGGAGGCAAGCAGTTCGCCTGCCAAGGTGACAGAAGAATTAGTGCTGTTCCGGAGAAGGAAGCAGAGAAGCAGGCAAAAAGGCCATGTGTAATAGGCCTCTTGGTCTTAGTGTCCTCCTGCACAGCGGCAGGTAGTTCAGGGTCTGATGATCTGAGGGAGAGGAGGGCAGGTCCTGCCTCAGTGGATGAATCTGGAGTGTGTGTGGATGGGGAAGCTTTTCCAGGATTTGTATCTGCTACAGCAGCTTTGGCATGGAACAATTGAGCTCTCCAAAGGCAGACAGTGCTTAAAAAGTTGAATTTGTAATTTTGTTCATTTATGGCTAGTGGCTACCCTACTGGACAGCCAGGCACAAATCATTCAAATAGAATACTTTTCCATTTAAAAACTTGACCCACAGAGTGGTAGTCTGGAAGTTCATGCACTGACTGAAACTGAAAAGCTAGCAACCCTCCCAGCCAGGAGGGTATGTAAGGGACCGTGGCAACCACCATTTCTTATACCCAAGTGGATTAACTCATCTCTAAAATGTTTAAGCTGTCTATTGATGTGGGGAAACTCAGGCCAGACTCGGCTCTGGGAGAGCCAGCAAAGCTTCTCAATGCTGTTTTAAAAAACTTTCCGTATTTAGTCTGACATCCAGCCACTATCAATTGCACTTGGTGGTTTTCCTTTCCAACTCAGAGCACTGAAGCCTAGATGGACCACTAGACCCCTGCCATGGTATGCTCCTGAACCCTCACCCAGAGAGCCCCCCTGGCCACCCATGTTGCCTCTCAGTTGAACTGCTTCTCCCCAACAGCTCAGAGGACTGGCAGTAGGGCCTGAGCTTCAGGGCTCATCATAGGTCACATGCCCGAGTCCCAGGAGCCAGCCTTGTAATAAGCGGTTAAAGGTTAACTCACAAACACACAGCTGCACTTCAAAGTGTGTGTTAGCCAGGACCGAGGGCACCTTGATTCGGAAAAGAGCCCAGTGACACAGCAATTGGCTTTCCCTGTCTGGGCTTCAGTGTCCCCATTCGAGAAGGCAGGCTTGACCTGGATCAGCAGTGTGAACCAGAGGCTGGGCTGAGTGGCTGACTCTGAGGACAGCTGGCAGTTAGGGCAGCTAGGGCTGCCTTCATGGTGACCAGCCACTCTTCCCTGCTAAATACGGGGGATGTTCTGTTCTGTTCTGTTCTGTTCTGCTGAGCACCGTCCAGGGCTGGCATCCAGGCTGCCCTCACCATCCCTCTCGATCTCACTGCCGCCTCTGCAGTGCCTGCTCAGCATTCCTGGCAGGACCCCTTGCCCCTTGAGTGTGGCCAGTAGCCTGGGGAGGAAGCTAAGCTGGATGGTCTGAGCTGCAGGGCTGCCAATGTGCTGGGATGAGCGGTCCTTCTCAAGGCACACGGCTCTGTGCAGCTGGGAAAGGAGAAGCAGAACAGACAGCAGGTGATGAGACATCCATCACAGATGTCTACACAAGGCATTCTGGACTTATGTCCTGTTTCTTCATGGCCACAATTAGCTGGCTGTTCTTTGCTTTCCAGTTCCAAAGATACTGCTGCCTTTTTGTCTTGTAAGTTTGTGACAGGGTCTCTGTAATCCATGCTGGCCTTGAACTCACTGTAGCGCAAGCTGCCATTGAATTCTCAATCCTCCTGCCTAAGCCTCTCAAGTGCTAACTAGGATCACCTGCATGTGCTGCTATGCCTGGTTCCACCTGTGTCATCTTATAGGCAGCCAGTTCCCCTCTTCTCATGACCCTCAAGGGCACTGAAGTTCTTCCTGGATCACCACCAATCTTGTTCGTTTTGCTGTGGGACCAGTGCCACGCCGGCTTCCAGGAAAGAACACAGCAGAGGCTGTTCCAGACCCCACCAATCCTGTCCCTATGTCTCGCTCCCATTGCAGGGTTGGAGGCAGCACCAGAGACCCTGGAGGGACAGTGATGAACTACTCAGAGGTCACCCTGATGGAAAGCACTAAAAGTGCAAAGTGGCAGCATCTTTGTTGTACAGAGTCAAGAAAATCATGGCGCCAGGTCACTCTGCTGAGCACATACTGGAAAGAGAGTTGGATTTCAGGTCACTGGAAACATCCAGACATTAGAGGAAATATGTCTGGAAATCTCAAACACAGGTGCTCCTGACTTAAGACAGGACCTCGCCCTGACAAACCTGTTGTGAGCTGGAAATAGGAAAAGTCAAAAATGCACTCAGCCCACCTCACTTACCAAACCCATGTGAGCAGCACAGTGAGAGAAGTTGGCTGTGTGCTTGCAAGCTCAGGGATGATGAGAGTTACTGCCCCGAGTGCTGCCAGGCATTCCAGGAGAGAACTGTGCCTGCACCACCAGTCCTGGAGAAGATCTAATATTCAAATGCCAAGTACAGCATTTGTGAAGGCATACTGCCTTCACACGATCAAAAATTCAAAAACTTGGACCGGGGATTTAGCTCAGTGGTTCTACCGCCTACCTCACAAGCACAAGGTCCTGAGTTTGAGCCCCAGTACCCCACTCTGAAAAAAAAAATTCAAAAACTTGCTAGTCAGGGATTCGACTATGCTAAAGGAATGTTTTATTCATGAAAACCGCAGACACACAATGGATTTTCATCAAGTGACTCTGTAACCAGCCCCAGGTCAAGAAACAAACTCCCAGCCCCACAGGAGTCCCCACTGTGCCCATTACCACCCATCCAGTCCAGAACCCGGCACCCTGCCACAGAGGTACCCTCAGAACTGCCCGCTGTCATTCTGTTGGGCTGTTAGCAGAGCTGCCCGTAGCACCCTGGCATCTTAGTGTGGCATGTGCGGCCTGCTTATTCATACTGGGAATAGGACTGCTGACCCCAGGTATACGAAGGGCACTGAAGACTAGAGTGTGCTCCAACGCTTGAACAGCTTCTGGTGGTCTTAAAGGTTACTTTTTGCCTACCCCCTTAGAGCAGTTGTTGCTTTTTTATTTTTGAGACAAGGTCTTGCCATGTAGCCCAGGCTGGCCTCAAACTTGCGGTCCTCCTGTCACAGCCTCCCCAGTGCTGAGGTTACAGGCACATACCACTCTTGAGCTAGTTGTTGCTTTTTGCCACATTACTTTCAAAGATCTCCTATATTGCTTTTCTCAGATGCTGTGGGCTGAGCACCCAGATGCCAGAGCTTATTAAAATGTGGCCAAACTTGTATTAAAGTTCACTTAGGCCAGGAAGAGGACAGTTGGCCCATGGGGGTTCCTGGGTGGAGGGGAGCTCTGGTTCCCAGTCAGGGGGACAGAGCACTCACTCCTTGTGATGGCCATACAGGGAAGGTCAGCATGTTTCCTCGAGGAAGGGCAGAGGAAGGTGCTTTCCAGGGAAAGGCAATGGCCAGGGCAGGCAGCTGGGTGAGCCATGCTTGGAGTGATACATGTGCACCTGGGGCTGTGACATTGCCCTGTCTGTGCCCTGGGCCTCCAAAGCTCCTTCCAGTACTGGGCTGCAGCTCTGGCTTTGTGCTCCAGGCATCATGGCCACACTCACACACATTGAGCAGGCCTCCTAATGTATTTTTAAAATAAGTAATTAGCCCTTAACCACATTATATGAAAATTATACCAGAAACAACTTCTAGGTCTGCTGAGAAAGCTGTGTGCTCGGTAGGAACAAATTGCTCTTCCCAGCCCTATTAGTTATGTCCTGAGCAGGGCAGTTGCTTTGCGCTCTGTGATGAGTAGACAAAGAGTTGGGCACCCTGAAACCCGGCTCTGGGAAGCCCATGGGGTCACAGCCAGCGCGCTCCCGTCTCTGGCTGTTAAAAGAGTCTGTGCATTGAACATTCGGTAGACACTGTCACAAAGATGTCCTGGCCCTGGCTACCTTCACCCTCAGAGTTTAGGCTGCCCATGTCAAAGACCCCTGGGAGCTCTCTGGGTACTTCCGGACAGCCTAGTGTCATGACACTGCCCTCATCTGGGGACCACAAGTGAGCCCACATGCTCAGGCGGTGACTTTGCTATGGGGAGTATCAGGGAAGATTTTGAAAGACCGCACGCTTTTCCAAGTAAGGGAAAGAAGGTGCACCAACCCCAGCTGTGTGTCTTGGTGCCCGTGTAAGACTGGGAGCAAAGGGCTGACAGAGCTGAGGGCAGTGCCTGAGCTTACAGGAAATGTGTATTGGCTTTGTCTTCTTGCCCTTATGTTTGGGACTTCCTACAATATCTCTGTCTCTGGCAACTGGCATCAGTCCTCAAACCAACAAGGTTTTATTTTTACTGTTTTTTTCATTCTGTCCTTCAGGATTTGGCTCCCAAGAAGCAAAGTACAACGGCTACAGCTCTATGAGAACCTGTCTACATTTTCCTTAAGTCTGAGCTGTTCTGTTAGCAGGTGCTTTCTTGTCTGCAGCTGTTGCTTGCTCTGATCTGCTGGGGTGTGGATTCCCTGTGTTGGTGCCAAGTGCTGAGCACCACAGGCTGACCTGTGCAGGCCACTTTGTGAGCTGCTCTGACACATGTGCAATCCTGATCTTCAAAGTGAACTTAAAACACCTAAGCAGTTCAAAAACAGTCCTCATGCTTTCCATGTCTTTACCTACCCGCCTTAAAATTCCTAATGTCAGGACCCTGCCATAAACTTCTTTTTTCCCTCCCCAGAGTGATGCAAATGGGACCGCCAAGCCGCCTTTCCTCAGGTAGGTCCATTTAGGCAAGCAGTTTTCCAGAGCATGGTGCTTTCCTCCTACTGGGTTAAGGGGCCTGCTGCACCCAGACCAGGAGGCTCAGCCTAAGCAGACCTTGTTGGTGGAGTCAGAGAAAACTACAGCCACCTTCTCTTCACTTCAGTCATTCCTGGGAGTAGGGCCTGGAGGGACAGTGTGGCATCTGCCAGAATCTGGCCTGTCTCAGAAAGGCTATCCCACCTGGTTCCCTTCCTAGTAGAGGACTAGAGAGCTGTGGGCTCTCAGTGTCAGTTATTGGAAGCTTCGGGATGGGGTCAGGCAAGGTGGCGCACACCTGTAATCCCAGCAGTAAGGGAGTCTGAGGCAGGAGGATCACAAGTTTGAGCCCAGCCTGCACTTAGCCACTAAGGCCCTGTCTCAAAATTTAAAAGGGGTGTGATGTAGCTCAGTGCAAAGGCATAGAGTTTATTCCCCAAAACAACAAAAAAACTTTGGTGGCTCCCATCAGTGCTGGCATGGAGAGAACTGCCAGAGGCTCTTATGCTTAAAATGCCACCCAGAGTTTTGTATACAGTAGAAGACAGTGACAAGATTTCATAAAGCCAGAGCAGTAGTTATTAAAATCAAATTCCTGTTTTAGAGCACTATCTCTGTACAGAATTTTTCTTTCTCTCCTACAGTGGGGAAAACCCCTTTGCTACTGTGAAACTGCGACCCACGGTGACAAATGATCGATCAGCACCAATCATTTGATGAAGATGTTAAGGATTCCGGTTCCTCTACTGTTCAGATCTTGCCTGCAAAATGATAGATAGCCATTGTGTGACAAGTTCTGGGATAGTAGGAAGCTTCACTAGAAGTTGCCTGATTTTCAATGTATCCTACTTGAGCAAATCAATGAATTTTTTCAGTTTAACATAGTTGGGCTTACACACTTCTGTCTTTAAGATAAATATTAGTTTAGTGGGCAGCTCAATCATTTATTTTCTTCCTCTCTCTAAAAATAGTAAATTTGGTTCCAATCCCTAATGTATATTTTTAATACCTATGTTTTGTTTTTTTTTTTTTTTAATTTGCAGCCAGAATAAGTGATAGACTGTGCTTTCATGACTGGCTTTCTGCATCTGAACACAAATGAAACCAGTTATATTTTATAAAGCATGTGCTCTTAAGTAGCATTATGTTTATCTAAAGATTGTGTAAGTTTGCATCTTAGCATGCAAATCATAGTTTTAAGCAATATAAATTATTAAAAAATTCATTAAATATAATTTTTTAACTTACAAGTTTTAAACTCTTGATTAAACATAGAGCTCCCTTGGGCCAGGAATTTAGCTCAATGGTGCCGACACCTGAGTTTGATCCAGTACCCAAAAAAAAAAAAAAAAAAAAAAAAAAA